TAATTTTTTATGCACTTGCACACATTAATAGTCAATATTTAAAATCGGTTTGGTAAATCTTGTGGTTTGAATCTCTTCAATCTTCGACGATGCTCTGCAGTATGCATACATATATGTGAAGTGGGGTTGCTGGATCTTCACTTCATTAATTATTATTACAATGTCCTTTTTAACTTACTTTAAGACATTCATAAGGCTAGTTATCAATGTAAGATGATAGATTACTTTAAAAATAATAAAAAAAAAATAGTTTTTCAATTTTTTCTAATATTTCTCTAATTTTTTTTATATTACTTTTTCTGTATTACTATGAAACTTTTGAAATATTTTATGATTAATTAAGAAAAGTTATTTTACTACGCATCTATTGATATATCAATTTTTTTGTAACGTCAATTATTTACAGAAATATAACAATATTTTTATGCATTTTACTGTCTTTGCTTATTAGCTGATTTATAGTTTGTGTCATTGATCTGTTAAAAGTTGTCAAATTGAATGTCAGATGTCATTTAAATAATAAACGTCTCTTCACTATTTATTTAATTATTTGACAAGCACGAAATTTAAGTATATGATTAAAAGTTAAAACTAAGGCCTTGTCAATGAACTTATGACTAAGTTGTATTATACATCGTTTATCTGCTATAACACATTTGAAAGTGCACTGTTTACGAATTAGATGTAAACATGTAAATTAAATATAAACTATGACATTTTCAATGATTCTACTGACTGATTTATGGTTTATACAGATCATCTACTATAAGCTGTCAAACGTAAGAAATGAAATACGAGCTTGAAATAAAGTGTCTTTGCATTTTATATAATAACTCGACAACCTCGCATGCTACTTATATTAATGAACATGCAAACTGTTTAACTTCTTATTAACCTTACGGTATATATCAGTATATAGTAAATGGTGTATGAAGAAGATAGGATTAAGGAAAGAAGGTACATTCTCGCAGCGTACTTTTCATGTAAATATAAATTTTTCGGAAGGCTGCATTTGATTTGAAGTGCATAAGAATATCGTAAGACAAAAATAAGTTATAAATATTATTTGTATACTGTATTTAAAAATATGGAATCTGTTAAAAATCAGTTTCCACATGTGATCTTTCTAATTAGTTTTGTTTTTGGTAACTTCTGCGGATGCTCTTGGAGGTCGATAATTCGTGAATCCGTTAATAATGTAAATGTGCCCACGAAAATTGTACCTGCCGGTGCTTATTTCTTTCCCTCTCTGAATTCCGAATGCTCGTATGTTTCTCGCTCTTTTTTACCTATTCTTTATATAAATATTGGCTACCTGTGGGCATGGAACGTGACCCGAAGTTGCGCGGGATCGAACGATGGTAGCGATGCCGACCAGTTCTTGGTATAACAACACACCTTTCGCGACTTGCACCAGACGAGTACAAATCGGTGCAGAACTGAAGAGGAAATTAAACAAAAAAAAGTATGTTCCTGGTGAAGAGGACGACTTTAAGGTAATTCGAATATCGAAATCGTCCTGTGCGTGTGAAAATGATAGACTTCTAGGCGTTCGGTCTTTCGGTGTTCTTTGTGTGCGTGCTTGTGACTTCAATGCCGGATGGGAACAAGTGAACTGGAGGGTTGGAAGAAGGAAGCACGCTCTGGTGGATACTTTGTGATCGTGAATATTTTTTAGAAGGACAAAACGTATCGACGTATGAAGATGCATATGTTCAGGCGAGGCATGATCTTCGTGACGTTCTTCGGCTCTTGCATTGCCATTGCACTGCTCGTAGCGAGTCTGGGCACAAAACATTGGGTTGATGCGGCAGCCAAGAGGACCCTAAATCCTGCAGACTCAAATGGTCGTATCAATTACGGCCTGTTCAGTGGTAAAAAGGAGCTGAATGTGGCTTACGGATGGCGGAGCTACGAGATCGACGGTAAGGAATTGGAACGCGCTGAGAGAAAGATGCAGAAAGAACGGAACGAAAGAAGAAGATCGAGGTGGAAAGATCGAGGTCGATGCGACGACGAGAGAACTTAACACGTCCACCGGACATTCCCCAAACTCTTTTAACCGACTCATCTTAACATCATCATAAAACGAATATTTCTACCATGACCAAACATTGCATTCAATCACCAAATAATCAAGCTATAACATTTATAGGACACATTTGAAATTGCAAATTCCTATAGGCTTTTCGGTTTAAAACTTGAATCAATTGGAATTCGCATCCGGGCAAACATCTGAGTCAGAGGTCGAAAGTTGTTACCAATTCGATTGTTTTTTTATATATAAATATATTATGCAACTATTGCTTTCCGAACTGGTTTACTGCATATACCTCAAATTGTATTGCCTTTCCCCAAATAAGGACCTTGCGGGAAATTACAGGTGAACAGAACTAATCGGTTCCTGGTAGAGGTCGTAAATTGTCACACGTATTTACGATGGTGACAGATCCCTAAGCTATTCCATGAAATAACAATGCATGATAAATTGCCAAGAATTATTGCAATTTCATTATAATTCAGTCATACTTTGTGACTTGATATTATATAAATAAAGAGAAATCTAGTAAATATTAGCTAAAGTCGCTCAATATTTTATGTTAGGAAATGTACAATTTTACTATTGATTTATTATTGTTGTCATAATACCAAATGTAAAATATAACCTTTGTTATTAGTTTTATATAAATCAATTTGGAAAATTCAATTTCAAATGTCACATGTACTAAAAATTTATAATTTAACAAATCAGTTTTGACACAGTGTATTAAATAAATTTACTTTAATATAAAAGTTTTTTTTCTGAATTAGTTAAAGTCACGTAATATTATTTTATATTAAGATATGTTTACCATATTAATTATTCTATATGGAAAATGTCAAAATAACAAAAAAATATAATCTTAAACTTTGAATTGACATTTGGCATGTGTCAAATTGTGAAATAAGAGCAAATTTGAAATTTAAAAATTTGACATATAAACTTACATTGAGCTATTCATCAAATTTTATTTAATTATTATTATCGAAAAAATAATACATTTTAAATCTTTAGATCAATTCATTAAAATAGTAAGTTTCAAATCTTAGAATAATATATGTCAACTTTTAGTACAAATTGACAATTCAACACACCTAGACGAAACCTAATCGAAATTGGCTAAAGTTACGTAACAATTTATATAGAAATAATAAATATAATATCAAGATTTTATTTTTGACAAATGTTAATTATCAAATGTCACAATAAATATAAAATTTAGAGAAACAATTTGACACTTTCCAAATTAAACTACATTTTTTTTAATATTACTTGAAATAAATTGATTCTTATGAGATTCAGCTCTACACAAATTTGATCTTTATATTACAAAAAATAGACTAAAGAGGATTTGTTTTAATATTAAAAAAAAATATATGAATTTGAAATAAATATACAATAGAAATTTTATATGTTAGAGTATTGAAATCATTATATTATTTTTGTTCTATTTATTTGATTTGTTACTTCTCTGTTTAATTCGTGCAGAATAACAATGAAATTATAATGAAATATTAAAATAGTATACAATACTAAACTTCAAGTAAAAGGTTAAACGTATTTTGCAAGAACGTTCTTTCAAACAGTTATTGACCATGAGATCGTCTTGCAATGTGTAAAATCCTTAATAAACTCTTACAATTCGCCTTCGTTCAGCTTGAGTTCTTCGAGATGGTCACTTTGTAAACGTCAATAACCGACAATAAATGAAGACAGACAAGCGCTTTAATTAAATTAATTAATGTTATAACTACTTATTATTGTTTCCTTTTTATCAAAAAAAAAATATTTGGAGGAATATTGCAAATACAAGCACAAAAATGTAGTTTATAATTAAAATTAAAAGCAAAGTTAAATGAATATTAAAAGAAACATACAAAAGCAGTGAATTGAGATTTTAACTCAGACTAAATAAAAAATCCATTGCATTATGAAGTATCGTTTATACGTCAATCGGTCCAATCAAAACAACTGGTTTTTCAGAATGGACAACTTAATTAAATTTAAATTACACAACGGTAATTTTCATGTAATATGTTATGTTTATTATTTTATTTAGAAAATTTAATGACAGATTTAGACACATACTTTATTTGAGTTATTTGTGTATAAATTAAATTAGAAATAATTTGTTTCTTTGATATATCCTATAATAATTGTAAATCATTAATCACTTTCTGGTATAATTAAAGATGTGAATAATCCCAGCAAGATAATCTGAAGGAAAATGAGGCTGAAAATGTTCTACGCTGTGAAAATAACGATGGGAATATACCCTTTGTTGATCAATTATCCCAAGTTTCTGGGTTATTAATGCCGTGAATCACGTTCAGTTTATGATCCATAAAGAAAAGATCATGGCTTTCGTACATCCGGTTGAATTTTATGCGCGTTATATTATTACCTAAAGATGGAACGAGTGGACCAAAGAGTGTGACAATATTGAATAGTTATGAGAAGAATGTGAGAGAGCGTGTAATTGGAAAAATAAGCACTCGATGAGAAAGGCGACGAATTGGATATTCTAAGAAGTGTAACTACAAAAGAATTGAATAGATTTCTACATTTATTCAAGAAAATAGTATTATATTATTTGTATATAAGTTTCTATACTAGAATTTCAGTTTGTATTCAATTATTTCATTCAATTCCATAGGTATTTCAGCAGAAGAAAATTAAATTATGAAACAAATTAATCAAACTTTATCCACATGTTATCATTTGACATCTGTCATTTATCCGTCAATTCAATGATTAAGATTTTATATTTTAAGTTAGGTTAAACTGGATTAATAAATTGCGAATTAACATCAAATTCATCATCATTTAAAATTTCACAATATATTTTTCAATTTGTAAATCTGTTAAAACTTATGATTTCATGTTAATTTTCAAGAAGTGATTACATTTCGTATATAGTAAGTACAAAATAAATTAAAAAAATAGGTAAAAATCTTGAGATACATTACATAATAAACAAATTACGTTCTTAGCATAAAATGTAAATTAAATAAGATTAAAACGAATTACCTTAATGTTATATAAACTTTGACATATAATTAAGAAACTAACGGATAACACGAAGTAGCATTAAGAGCATACGAAACTTTTATAAAATTAAATGAGTTTCTCGTAATAATGAGTATCTGTCATAATTATTTATTGCACGGTTAATTATTTTTGTTAATTAAAAGCAAACCATGTGTTTCATTTTTTCATTTTGTGTTTGCGTTACTATTTTGTAATTATAAAGAAAATTCTGCTGTTTATTAATAATATAATGTTTCCTTTTTTCGTAATAAAATATATAATAACAATGTCAATAAGAAAATATAACCTGAATCTGACAAATTACACCACTTATGATAATGTCCCTAGAAAATTTAACCAAGAGCTGTCATAATATGACAATGTCAATAAAAATCTAACCACAAACTCTCAAATATTAAAGTTTCTTGAAAAGTATTGATAAATGTAAATATATGAAAAAAATAATCACAAAATTCAATTGGAATATAATAATAATTATTATCAAATAACAAACATGACAAAAATAATTTGAACTCAACATGTTATACATGTATAATTATCGACAAACCTGTAAAATATATAAAGATATAAATATGTATTTGAAAAGTGAAGTGATCATGAAACCGTTATTAACCTGAATTTTATTTTACACGGTTTCTCTTCAATAACTTTCAGAACTAATCCATTTTATACAAGTTTGTTGAATGTCTTTGCAATATATAGATTCAATAAAAATATATTAATTGGTGAATTAACAATCTTAAACTTAGATTATACAGGTTTCATAATAATAAACTAAAAACATAATAATTTCATCATCACAAAAAATGGAAATCTGTTACGAAAGATTATTTAGTGAAATTTCTTTTGTTTCTAGATGAAAGTAATAGTATTATTGTTTATGAATGAAATGTATAAAAATAATCAAAGGAAATTTCTTAATTTGTATTATAAAATGTCCTTTCACTCATATTAAATCAGTATAAATTATAAATATAGTTCAAATATGGAAATACGTAGAGAATTACTTTTATTTAATTATTAATTAATTTGACAAAGTTCTCATAATTATTCACTTTTAATAAAATTTCATGACATTAATATCAACATAAATGTAGCAAAGATCAGCGTTTCTCAACTTATTGGTTAATTTTTAAAAGGGTCGCAAAATGACAGCTGTCGACGAGCGTCAACACATATTTCAGGTTATAAACAATAGGGTTATAAAAGTTTGCGAAACAAAATAATAATACTGTATCTAATTTCAAATTACAAAATCCACATCAATTACTTATGGTTGGAGTGTAACTATTATAGAATTACATAAATATTGGGATATACTTTTTTCATTTGAAAGATTTTTTTAATAAATCAATGAAAAATACTAGTTTTCTCTTACTTTAAAGTTATTTTGTACTGTCCAATAGAATCTACCATAAAATAAAGTGCAAATAGTTTTTTTTCTCCTATTCGAACCACATTGAATAAAGCATCATAAAAATAGGGTAACGACGTTTTTTATAACCAGTCTCTGTCATAGATGAAAGTAAAAGTATGTTATTTGGATACAATCGACCCACTAGTAGACATATGTAACTTATTGTTAAAACTTAAACAACTCTCCAAAAAGCGATTGCTAAAGGTTATTGTTTTTATACAGTTGACCAAAAATAAAGCCCACTCCTCAACACTCAAATCTGATGTGAATGTAAACGACTTAAAAAAAACGTGATCTGATTTATTTAACATTTGGTTTCCTGACATAACTAGTGAAAAAAAGTAGTTGTATAATGTCTATAAATTAAATAAAAACATGCAATTTTAATAGTAGAAAAATGCATTTGTAAATGAAGC